TGCTTTGTCAGGGAGACTGAGGCAGAGCTTTTGGGGTCTTGTTCGGTGCTGAGCGTCCAAGGGTGAGACCCTTTTACTGCCTGGGTTTGATGGTCAGACGCAGGGTTTAAACCCTACAGCGGGCAATTGGAGGCATGCATGGTGCGCAGGGCCACAGCCATGAGCCCCTCCTGGCTTGGTGGTCCTGGCATGGCTGTTGAGTAGAAAGGCCTCTCCCCGTTCGGCTGAGGTGGATTTGGCTTGCTGCTGAAGTGAGTAGTGTTGGTTGCTGAGGAAGATGAAGCAAGGTAGGAAGGGGGGCTGTGCAGCTGGGTGTGCCATGGTCCGTGAGGCCTGCTGCATTGAAGGCACGAATGCAGAGGGCAGGTGTGATGTCCTTGCAAGGCCACTACTATTTCTCTTTGTAGAGAAATAGTAGTCCTGGTGAGCAGGAGAGGCTCCTGAAGGCTGGAAGAGACTCACCCCGCTCCTCTTTTCAAGAAGGTGAACAAGAAAGGTGTGTGCAACCAGAAGCTGGTTGGCCTGACTTCAGTCGCTGGGAAGGTTCTAAGGGAAATTGTCCCAGAAAGCATTGTTGAGCAGACGAAGAACCAGAATGTGATGGGCAGTAGTCAGCAAGGATTTACATAGGGAAAGTCACACGGAACCTCCTCAGCCTCTTCTACGTTGAAGTGACCAGCTTGGTGGATGAGGAAAAAGCAGTGGCAGATGCTCAACTTTAGTAAAGCCTGTATGTAGTAAGGGCTTTCTTTGGCACTTGCTCCCATGACACGCTCATAGAAAAGCAAACAAAGTATGGGTTGGATAAAGGTACGCTGAGGTGGGCTGAAAAATGGCCAATTGCTTGGGTGCAGAGGCTTGTGCTGAATGGCACAGAGCGGAGTTAGAGGCAAGGCCTTATCGGTGTGGGCCAGGACTCAGCAGTGAGGCCAGCAGTGTTCAATATCCTCATTAGTGAGGTGGGTGATGGGATGTAGTCACCCCGCAGGATGTCTGCAGGTGACCCAAGACAGGCAGGAGCGACTGATGCACGTGATGAACGTGGCACCATTCAGAATGATGTGCAGAGGCTGGAGAACTGGGCAGAGAGGAACTTCATGAAGTTGCAGAAGGGCAAAGCAATTTGCTGCCTCTAGGGAGGACTAACGCCAGGCAGCAGAACATGGTGTTGTCCCACACAGGGGAGGCACCTTTGCTGACCAGGACCTTGTGTTGCTTTTGGAGAGCAAGCTGACGATGAGTCAACAATGAAGCCTTGCGGCAAAAGAGGCCACCAGGCTCCAGGAGGGCATGGGGAAGAGCGATGCCAGCAAATTGAGGAAGGCGCTCCGTCAACTCTCCTCAGCACTGGTGAGGCCCCTTGTGGAGTCCTTTGTCCAGTTAGAGGCACACAAAAGGATGGCGGAAGCAGACATGCTGGAGCAATTCCAGTGCAGGGCTACCAAGATGCTGAAGGGCCTTGAGCCTCTTCAATAATGAAGAGAAGGTGAGAGAGCTGTGCATTTTCAACCCGCAGAGAAGGGTGCTCAGGCTGAATCTCCTCCTTGTTCTAAATCCTGTATGGGCGAGAATGAAGACAAGGGAGCCAGACCACCCCCAAGCTGACAAAAGAAGAAAATCACAACCTTCCTTCTCCCACAAATGACCTTCCAAGCATAAAAGCCACCAAGCCGACAACTTACACAGGACACCCAATGTGAAAGATGAGGAATAAACACAAGCATTTGGAGAGGACAGGATGGCAAGAAGGGAGTAAGTGCGATGTCAGTACCAGTGCCTCGTGCCCAGCATATCTGGGAAGCCCAGACCAGCCTGCGTTATGGCGAGGCCAACAAATAGGGCCCCCTCCACACAACAGTGCAGCCACAAACAGCACTGCACGAGTGACACGCCATGACCTCACTTCATGACACCCCACCTCTCCCATGATTTGGCCGCATCTGCCGACTGCCCTCAAACGCACGCTCCATGCAGATCCACCCAAAGAGCCACTCTCACTTAAAAGCTGCCGCCATGGCCACAGAGACACATCCTCAACAGGAGAAAAGGACACCAGAGCGTTGTGGGAACGACAACACACCCCACCTCATTACTTGCCAGGATTAGGCATGTAAGAGCAGCTTATACTAAATGCTGTCATGCGCAAAGGGTTTCTTGCCCCAAAGGCACTCAAGGACCAGCATAAAAGCCGGCCCTGCTCGTAGCACCCTCACACAATCCTCCCGACACCTTCTCCCCTGCGACCAACAAGGTAAGCCTGAACCCCACTCCCATTATTCACACACCTGACCAGCCTTGTCTCCCCAACCTTACTATCCCCCCAGCCTCATGAGCCCTTCTGCCTTCCCAAAGCCATGCTCCCCACTACCCCAGGCCTCCCTTCTCCGTTGGCCTCCCCCAACACTGCTCCACACACCCACAACACCGTCCGCCTTCACAACACCCTCTCTTCCAGGCACCCTCCACAACACAGACATGTCCTGCTACGACATCTGCCGCCCCTGCGGACCCACCCCTCTGGCTAACAGCTGCAACGAGCCCTGTGTCAGGCAGTGCGAGGACTCCCGCGTCGTCATCCAGCCTCCTGCCGTGCTGGTCACCCTGCCAGGACCCATCCTCAGCTCCTTCCCCCAGAACACCGCCGTTGGATCCTCCGCATCAGCTGCCGTGGGCAGCAACCTCAGCGCCCAGGGAGTGCCCGTCTCTGGAGGCGGCTTTGGAGGCTTTGGCCTTGGAGGCTTTGGCTTCGGAGGCCTGGGCTGCATCAACGGCAGAAGAGCCTGCTACCCCTGCTAAGGACCCACGCCAACACCCCTGACAGCAGCCTCCAGCACTGTGCCAGACAGATCTTAGGCTGAGGATGCTCCTCTGTGCTGCTCATGGCACATGGGCTCACCAGCCGTAGCTCATTCCATGGCACAACAAAGCAAGCAAGGAAGGAAGGGGCCAGACCATGCTGTCAGGAAACATGGCCAACATACCTCCTTCTTTCTTCTTCTTTCTACTTTCTGTAGCACCACCACCTACAGCCGCTACTCTCTTCTGCAATGCCTTGCTCAATAGCACAATTCCTCGGGAAACCTTCTGGGGCTGCTACTACCACGGGGTAGGGAGACCTTGGGGCACTGGGAAAATCTGCTCTACACAAGGGAAATAGGCTGGTGGTCGCCCTCTTGGAACCTCAGAATATGCACCTTGACGCTCCCTCTGTTTCATGTTTTTCTCAATAAAATCAATCTGCATCCCATATCCTCAGATGCCTCCTCTTGCTTTCTTCTCCCAACGCTCTTCCAACTTCACCCGACAAAAAGAACAAAAAGCAGGTCTCAAGTGGCCATCAGGGCCCAGGCCTCTAGGTGTTCAAGATGCGTTTGCACAACACGCTTACATAGCTCCTTCTCACTACCATGGAAAGACATGATGACCACTCAGCAGATAAGGAATTGTGTGCATGGTCACATCTCCAGAGTTGCGCTCAACAGCTTGGTGCCCAGGTGGACACCAGGGAGGAGTGGTGTCCCTCTGGGGTCTCTATTGAGACCAGTATTATTTAACAGAGTTGTCCTTCACACAGACAACACACGGATGGTGCGAGACGCCTTGTGGATTATAGATGCTCCTTTGAGCTGTACCTGACCCACTCGGTAATCAGCTCCACAAGCACGGCTATTTCTCTCAAGGCATGAACCAGACAAGCAAGGACGTGGACTATTCCACGATGTTTGGAAACATGGCCCACTTACATTCTACCATTCTCCCACTTCTTTCCTTGACTTGCACTGTCTCCTGTGTCCAGTTCTCTCTGCTGCTATTACGGGCTCAGAAGCCAAATGCCACCAGGGATGGACTCTCTCTCTGCTGCTCCTATCACAGGGCAGGAGGATCTCCGTGCTCCGGGAAAATATTCCGTGCACAAGGATGACGTTGTTGGTCACCCAACGTGCATCCAAGACCCCCCAGGGATGTTCCACTTGCTGCTCCTTCCTTTCCATGTGCTTTCCTCAATAAAGGTCTAAAGGTCTCATGCCAGCCTGATGCTCCTCCTCTTCCCTTCTTCTTCCCACTTCCCTCACGACAAAGCCAAAGCTGAAGACATCATCAGGGCAAGTCAAAAAGGGCAACCACACCTTGCCATACGTCATAGAAGACGTACACTTCACCAAAAAAAGACTTGGGCACGCATAGGCTCCGCTGCACGTGCCCTCTGAAACAATCTCTCTGTGTCAGCACACACTTGACTGCTTTCTCACCCAGCAGCATTCTCCTGCATTGACAACAGATGCAGCCACAGAATCCCTTCCGTTTGGAAGTAACTTCTGGAGACCATGTACTGCCAGCACCCTGCTCGAGCATAGTCAGCTACAGCAGGGTGTCCAGGACCATGTGCAGTTCCTGGGTTTCTCATATCTCCAAGGATAGAAATCCAAAACTTGAGGTCCACTGCTTGACCACTCTCACACCGAAAAAGGGGTTCCCTCTCTTCCAAGGAAATTGCTTCTCTGTGGTGTCCACTCACCTTTGTCCTGGCAGCAGGCAGTAACTGAATTTAGCCTGGTTCCCTTGTCTTTGTAGCCGCCCATCCGGGATTTAGAACAAGGAGGAGATTCAGCCTGAGCACTCTTCTCTGCGGGTTGAAAATGCCCAGCTCTCTCACCTTCTCTTCATATTGAAGAGGCTCCAGGCCTGTACCAGAATTGCAAGGTTGGTGTAAAATACCAAAATTGCCTTGTCTGAACTGTAGCCAGGATGGCAAATAACAGTCAATCATCTTGTGGTCCTATAAATAGTAGTCCTAAGCAAAGAACCCAGTGAGCTCTCTAGGCATTGAAAACTCAATCTCTACCTGAGCTGGGACACCTCACAGCATACCCCTGAGGGAAAGTTCATCTCAGGGCTGACTCCTCGAGGAGTCAGCTGCAGACAAACACCAACAAGGAATTAGGGTGAGTAATTCACTCCAGGGGGTATTTTGGAAGTGCGTGACTGAATTTAAATACCCCCAAGAACCCTGCAGTAAGTCGCAGCTGAACTTTGCCACTGTTTCTATTGTAGAAAATCCCATTAAAATAATTCTGTTAAATTCTCAGATGATCAAAAGTTGATTAAGAGCTGTTAAAAATCATACCATCTATACCTCAAAATATAAAATAAATCCTAAATTGCTGCTCTATTAAAGCAGTGTGAAATCTAATTCCATGACATGTGCCCAACCCTTAGTGTGGTCATCCATATGTATTGATGATGGGCTGGAAAACCAGCTGGTGCCCACCTGTGTTGTTGGTGATGACATCCTTGAGAAGGGAGGTTCAGTGGGCCTTTACAACCCCACCCAATGGCCTCTTGAGCAAAGTGTTAGTAGTAGGTGAACTGGAAAGAGCTTTGGGTTGAAAAAACGAAGAGGACGAATGTCAGGATAGGATGCAGATAGATTTTATTGGGGGGGAAGAAAAAAATAAAAGGAAGGAGCAAAAATAAAAGCACCGGATTCTGAGGTGCTATTAGAGTGACCACCAGCTGCTCTCCCTTGTCTACAGCACATTTCCGAAGAAAACTGAGAACATCCTGTCCTAATGAGGAGAGTAGCTGAGAGGTTCTCAATCCATGGTGTCATTTGGCTTATGAACCAGTCATAGCAGCAGAGAGTAGCGGCCGTAGGTGGTGGTGCTATGGAAAGGAGAAAGAGGAAGAAAGAAGGTGGTATGTTGGCCGTGTTTCTTGACAGCATGAGCTGGCTCCTTCCATGCTTGTTTGCTTTGTTGTGTCATAGAATGATGAGCCTCGGCTGGTCAGAGTGTGCGCCATGAATAGCACTGAGGAGAGTCTTCAGGCCGAGAGCTGACGGGCAAGGTGTTGGAGGCTTCTGTCAGAGGTGTTGGCATGGGTCCTTAGCAGGGGTAGCAGGCTCTTCTGCCAGAGAAGCAGCCCAGGCCTCCCAAGCCATAGCCTCCAAGGCCAAAGCCTCCCAGGCCAAAGCCTCCGAAGCCGCCTCCAGAGACGGGCACTCCCTGGGCGCTGAGGTTGCTGCCCACGGCAGCTGATGCAGAGGATCCAACGGCGGTGTTCTGGGGGAAGGAGCTGAGGATGGGTCCTGGCAGGGTGACCAGCACGGCAGGAGGCTGGATGACGACGCGGGAGTCCTCGCACTGCCTGACACAGGGCTCGTTGCAGCTGTTAGCCAGCGGGGTGGGTCCGCAGGGGTTGCAGAGGTTGTAGCAGGACATGTCTGTGGTGTGGAGGGTGCCTGGAAGAGAGGGTGTTGGGAAGGCGGAGAGTATTAGGGGTGTGTGGAGCGGTGCTGGGGGAGGCCAAGGGAGTGGGGAGGCCTGGGGTAGTGGGGAGCATGGCTTTGGGGAGGCAGAAAGGATGCTGAGGCTGGGGCGAGCAGCCGCGTGGGGTGATAAGGCTGGTCGGTTGGGCAAAGGATGGGAGTGGGGTTCAGGCTCACCTTGTTGGTCGCAAGGGAGAAGGCCACTGGAGGAGTGTGTGAGGGTGCTACGCGCAGGGACAGCTTTTATGCTGGTCTTTGAGTGCCTTTGGGGCAAGAAACCCTTTGCGCATGACAGCATTTTGCGTGAGCTGCTCTTACATGCCAAACCCTGGCAAGTAATGAGGTGGGGTGTGTTGTCGTTCCCACAATGCTCTGGTGTCCTTTTCTCCTGTTGAGGATGTGTCTCTGTGACCGTGGCGGTAGCTTTTGAGAGTGGCTCTTTGGGTGGATTTGCATGGAGCGTGCGTTTGAGGGCAGTCGGCAGACGCGGCCAAAGCATGGGAGAGGTGGGGTGTCATGAAGTGAGGTCATGGCGTGTCACTCGTGTGCGTGTCACTCATGTGGTGTGACTCCACAAGGGGCCTCACCAGTGCTGAGGAGAGATGACCGAGTGCCCACCTCAATTTCCTGGCAACGCTCTTCCCCATGCCCTCCTGGAGCCTGGTGGCCTCTTTTGCCGCAAGGCTGCATTGCTGACTCACCGTCAGCTTGATCTCCAACAGCAACACAAGGTCCTGCTCGGTAAAGGTGCCTGCCCCTCTGTCGGATAACACCATGTCCTGCTGCCTGGCGTTAGTCCTCCCCACAGGCAGCAAATTGCTTCGCCCCTTCTGCAACTTCATGATGTTCCTCTCTGCCCAGTTCTCCAGCCTCTGCACATCATTCTGAATGGTGCCACGTTCATCACGTGCATCAGTCGCTCCTCCCTGTCTTGGGTCATCTGCAAACTTCCTGCGGGGTGACTACATCCCATCACCCAGCGCACTAATGAGGATATGGAACAGTGCTGGCCTCACTGCTGAGTCCTGGCCCACACCGCTAGGGCCATGCCTCCAACATCGCTCTGTGCCATTCAGCACAAGCCTCTGCACCCAAGCAATCGGCCACCTTTCAGCCCACCTCAGCGTACCTTTATCCAACCCATACTTTGTTTGCTTTTCTATGAGCGTGTCATGGGAGCAAGTGCCAAAGTAAGCCCTTACTACATACAGGCTTTACTAAAGTTGAGCAGCTGCCACTGCTTTTTCCTCATCCACCAAGCTGGTCACTTCAACGTAGAAGACGCTGAGGAGGTTCCGTGTGACTTTCCCTATGTAAATCCTTGCTGACTACTGCCCATCACATTCTGGTTCTTCGTCTGCTCAACAACGCTTTCTGGGACAATTTCCTTTAGAACCTTCCCAGCAACTGAAGTCAGGCCAACCAGCCTCTGGTTTCCTAAACCCTTCCTTCTTCACCTTCTTGAACACAGGAGCGGGGCGAGTCTCTTCCAGCCTTCAGGAGCCTCTCCCACTCACCAGGACCTTTCAAAGAGAATTAGTAGTGGCCTCCCAAGGACATCACACCTGCCCTCTGCATTCGTGCCTTCAATGCAGTAGGCCTCACGGACCATGGCACACCCAGCTGCACAGCCCCCTTTCCTACCTTGCTTCATCTTCCTCAGCAACCAACACTACTCACTTCAGCAGCAAGCCAAATCCACCTCAGCCGAACAGGGACAGGCCTTGCCACTCAACAGCCATGCCAGGACCACCAAGCCAGGAGGGGCTCACGGCTGTGGCCCTGCGCACCATGCATGCCTCCAATTGCCCACTACAGGGTCCAAACCCTGCGTCTGACCATCATAGCCTAGGCAGGGAAAGGGCCTCACCCTTGGACGCTCAGCACCGAACAAGACGCCAAAAGCTCTGCCTCAGTCTCCCTGACAAACCACTCCCCCTCAGCTCAGGGCTTGCAAGCTCTCAACCAGGCCTGAGAGGACAACGTCCTACTGTCTCAAACAGCTCTCCTCCACATGATCAAACTACCACCCCCAAGCTTCCACAAGAAGAAAACACGCAGCCTCCCTTCTCCCACAAAAGGACCTTTCAGGCACAAAGGCCACCAAACCACCGACCAATGAAGCACACTCAAGGTGAAAGACAAGGAATGAACACAAGTGTAAGGAGAGGGCTCGATGGCAAGGAGGGAGCAAGAGTGACATCAATGCCTGCGCCTCGCACCCAGCACATCTGGGAAGCCCAGACTAGCCTGTGTTATGTTGAGGCCAGCAAATAGGGCCCCCTCCTCGCAACAATGCAGCCGCAAACAGCACCGCATGAGTGACACGCCATGACCTCACTTCATGACACCCCACCTCTCCCACGCTTTGGCCGCGTCTGCCGACTGCCATCAAACGCACGCTCCCTGCAAATCCATCCAAAGAGCCACTCTCACTAAAAAGCTGCCGCCACGGCCACAGAGACACATCCTCAACAGGAGAAAAGGACACCAGAGCGTTGTGGGAACGACAACACACCCCACCTCATTACTTGCCAGGATTAGGCATGTATGAGCAGCTCATACTAAATGCAGTCATGCGCAAAGGGTTTCTTGCCCCAAAGGCACTCAAGGACCAGCATAAAAGCCGGCGCTGCTCGTAGCACCCTCACACAATCCTCTCGACGCCTTCTCCCCTGAGACCAGCAAGGTGAGCCTGAACCCCACTCCCATCCTTCGCCCAACCGACCAGCCTTATCGCCCCACGCGGCTGCTCGCCCCAGCCTCAGCATCCTTTCTGCCTCCCCAAAGCCATGCTCCCCACTACCCCAGGCCTCCCCACTCCCTTGGCCTCCCCCACCACCGCTCCACACACCCCTAATACTCTCCGTCTTCCCAACACCCTCTCTTCCAGGCACCCTCCACACCACAGACATGTCCTGCTACGACATCTGCCGCCCCTGCGGACACCCCTCTGGCTAACAGCTGCAACGAGCCCTGTGTCAGGCAGTGCGAGGACTCCCGCGTCGTCATCCAGCCTCCTGCCGTGCTGGTCACCCTGCCAGGACCCATCCTCAGCTCCTTCCCCCAGAACACCGCCGTTGGATCCTCCGCATCAGCTGCCGTGGGCAGCAACCTCAGCGCCCAGGGAGTGCCCGTCTCTGGAGGCGGCTTCGGAGGCTTTGGCCTTGGAGGCTTGGGAGGCTATGGCTTCGGAGGCCTGGGCTGCTTCTCTGGCAGAAGAGCCTGCTACCCCTGCTAAGGACCCAGGCCAACACCCCTGACAGCAGCCTCCAACACCGTGCCAGACAGCTCTCAGGCTGAGGATGCTCCTCTGTGCCGCTCATGGCACACGGTGCTCACCAGTTGCGGTTCATCCTTCCATGGCACAAGAAAGCCAGCAAGGAAGGGAAGGGGCCAGACCATGCTGTCAGGAAAAACATGGCCAACAAAACCTCCTTCTTTCTTCCTCTTTTCTCCTTCTTCCATAGCACCACCACTATGGGCCGCTACTCTCTGCTGCAATGCCTTGCTCACTAGCACAATCCCCGGGGAACCTGGGGCTGCTCCTACACGAGGTAGGGAGACCTTGGGGCTCTGGGAAAATCTGGCTCTACGCAAGGGACATAGGCTGGTTAGTCGCCCCTCTTGGCACCTCAGAATGTTGCAACCTCCTACATGACGCTCGCTCTGTTTAATGTTTTTCTCCAATAAAGTCAATCTGCATCCCATATCCTCAGGTGCCTCCTCTTGCTTACTTCTCCCAACGCTCTTCCAACTTCACCTGATAAAGAGGACAAAAAGCAGGGCTCAAGTGGCCATCAGGGCCCAAGCCTCATGGTGTTCAAGAAGCGCTTGGACAACACTCTTACATAGATCCTTCTCACTGCCGTGGAAAGATTCAATGGTTACTCAGCAGATAAGGAATTGCGTGCATGGTCACATCTCCAGAGTTGCGCTCAACAGCTAGGTTGTCTTGAGAGGTTAGTTGAGAGTTTAGTGAGACTGATGTCTCACTAAAATGGAGAGACATCTATTTGAAATTTTAGAATAAGTGCCGGAGGTGTCTCGTGAGGCTAAACACTTATTCAACTCTCAAGAGATGGTTCAGTGTTGAGGAAACTTCAAGGCTCAGATGTGGAGGATACGCAATGAAGTACTTACAAGGTATTGTCTTTGGCAACAAAGCCTGCAACCCTACATATCCGTAACACCAGGGAATCTTGGTGTGCTGAGTCTAAGAGACACAGTATGGAGAGTGGAGCAGAGCAAAGGCACTGTGGCCAGGCTCTGTGACGTCCCTTCTGGGATCAGGAACCAAAAGGTATTGTGGAACTGACAGACTGCATGGGCAGCTCTGGCTCAAACGGATAACCAAAGCATGGCCTTTTGGTGAACAAGAACTTGTACTCCTGTTGCTTCTAATTTACTAGACTGAAAGTGTATTCTCTTATTGTGAGTCCGTGATCGTGATTGTGTAATTGTGCTTATAATGCTTATTGCAGTAACTGTGCATGCATGATGGTGATAATTCAAGATACATTGAATGTAACCAGGACTTATAGTGGCAGGCAGCTTTACTGAACGGAACCTTGAGTCAGCAATGCAGCCTTGAGGCAAAAGAGGCCTCCAGGCTCAAGGAGGGCATGTGGAAGAGCGTTGCCAACAAATTGAGGAAGGCGCCCCGTCATCTCTCCTCAGCACCGGTGAGGCTCCTTGTGGAGTCCTTTGTCCAGTTTGAGGTGCCCAGTGGAAAGTCGAAGCAGACAGGCTGGAGCAATTGCAATGCATTGCTACCAAGATGCTGAAGGGCCTTGAGCCTCTTCAATATGAGGAGAAGGTGAGAGAGCTGGGTGTTTTCAACCCACAGAGAAGGGTGCTCAGGCTGAATCTCCTCCTTGTTCTAAATCCCGGATGGGCGGGAATGAAGACAAGGGAACCAGACTAAATTCAATTACTGCCAGCTGCCAGGACAAGGGTGAGTGGACGCCACAGAGAAGCAATTGCCTTGGAAGAGAGGGAACCCCTTTTTCGCTGTGAGAGTGGTCAAGCAGTGGACCTCAAGTTTTGGATTTCCATCCTTGGAGATATGAGAAACCCAGGAACTGCACATGGTCCTGGACAGCCTGCTCTAGCTGCATGTGCTCGAGCAGGGCGCTGGCAATACAATGGTCTCCAGAGGTTACTTCCAAACGGAAGGGATTCTGTGGCTGCATCTGTTGTCAATGCAGGAGAATGCTGCTGGGTGAGAAAGCAGTTGATTGTGTGCTGACACGGAGAGATTGTTTCAGAGGGCATGTGCAGCAGAGCCTTTGAGTGCCCAAGCCTTTTTTTGGTGAAGTGTAGGTCTTGTGTGACGTGCTGCAAGGTGTGGTGGCCGTTTTTGACTTGCCCCGATGACCTCTTGAGCTTTGGCTTTGTAGTGAGGGAAGTGGGAAGAAGAAGGGAAGAGGAGGAGCGTCAGCCTGGCATGAGACCTTTAGACCTTTATTGACGAAAGCGCATGGAAAGGAAGGAGCAGCAAGTGGAACATCCCTGGGGGGTCTTGGACGCACGTAGGTTGACCAACAACGTCATCCTTGTGCACAGAAGATTTTCCCAGAGCACGGAGATCTTCCTGCCCTGTGATGGGAGCAGTGGAGAGGGAGTCCATCCCTGGTGGTGTTTGGCTTTTGAGCCCATCATAGCAGCAGAGAGAACCAGACATCGGAGTAAATGCAAGTCAAGGAAAGAAGTGGGAGAATGGTAGAATGTAAGTGAGCCATGTTTCCAAACATTGCGAAATAGTCTACGTCCTTGCTTCTCTGGTTCATGTCTTGAGAGAAATAGCTGTGCTTGTGGAGCTGATGACCCAGTGCATCAGGGACGTCGCAAAGGAGCATCCACAATCCATGAGGAGTCTTGCACCATATGTGTGGTATCTGTGTGAAGGACAATTCTGTTAAATACGAATGGCCTCAATAGTGACCCCAGAGGGACCACTTCTCCCTGGTGTCCACCTGGGCACCGAGCTGATGAGCGCAACTCTGGAGATGTGACCATGCACGCAATTCCTTATCTGCTGAGTAACCGTCGAATCTTTCCATGGTAGTGAGAAGGAGCTATGTGAGAGCGTTGTCCAAATGCCTCTTGAACACCAAGAGGCTTGGGCCCTGATGACCACTTGAGACCTGCTTTTTGTCCTCTTTGTTGGGTAAAGTTGGAAGAGCGTTGGGAGAAGGAAGCAAAAGGAGGCATCTGAAGATATGGGATGCAGATTGATTTTATTGAGGAAAACATGAAACAGAGCGAGCGTTAGGGTGCACATTCTGAAGTGCCTGGAGGGCAACCAGAAGCCTATGTCCCTTGCGTAGAGCAGATTTTCCCAGAGCCCCAGGGTCTCCCTACCCCGCGGTAGGAGCAGCCCCAGGTTTCCGGAGGGATTGTGCATGCGAGCAAGGCATTGCAGCAGAGAGTAGCGGCCGTAGGTGGTGGTGCTATGGAAAGGAGAAAGAGGAAGAAAGAAGGAGGTATGTTGGCCATGTTTCCTGACAGCATGGGCTGGCCCCTTCCTTCCTTGCTGGCTTTTTGTGCCATGGAAGGATGAACCGCAACTGGTGAGCCCGTGTGCCATGAGCGGCACAGAGGAGCATCCTCAGCCTGAGAGCTGGCGGGCACGGTGTTGGAGGCTGCTGTCAGGGGTGTTGGCGTGAGTCCTTAGCAGGGGTAGCAGGCTCTTCCGCCGTTGATGCAGCCCAGGCCTCCGAAGCCAAAGCCTCCAAGGCCAAAGCCTCCGAAGCCGCCTCCAGAGACGGGCACTCCCTGGGCGCTGAGGTTGCTGCCCACGGCAGCTGATGCGGAGGATCCAACGGCGGTGTTCTGGGGGAAGGAGCTGAGGATGGGTCCTGGCAGGGTGACCAGCACGGCAGGAGGCTGGATGACGACGCGGGAGTCCTCGCACTGCCTGACACAGGGCTCGTTGCAGCTGTTAGCCAGCGGGGTGGGTCCGCAGGGGCGGCAGATGTCGTAGCAGGACATGTCTGTGTTGTGGAGGGTGCCTGGAAGAGAGGGTGTTGGGAAGGCATAGGGAGTTGTGGGTGTGTGGAGTGGTGGTGGGGGCGGTCAAGGGAGCGGGGAGGCTTGGGGTTGCGGGGAGCATGGCTTTGGGGAGGCAGAAAGGCTGCTGAGGCTGGGCAAGCAGCTGCGTGGGGTGATAAGGCTGGTCAGGTGGGCGAAGGGTGGGAGTGGGGTTCAGTCTCACCTTGTTGGTTGCAGGTGAGAAGGCGTCAGGAGGAGTGTGTGAGGGAGCAAGGCACAGGGCAGGCTTTTATGCTGGTCCTTGAGAGCCTTGGGGCAAGAAACCCTTTGCGCATGACTGCATTTGGTTTGAGGTGCTCTTACATGCCTAATCCTGGCAAGTAATGAGGTGGGGTGTGTTGTCGTTCCCACAATGCTCTGGTGTCCTTTTCTCCTGTTGAGGATGTGTCTCTGTGGCCGTGGCGGCAGCTTTTAAGTGAGAGTGGCTCTTTGGGTGGATTTGCATGGAGCGTGCGTTTGATGGCAGTCGGCAGACGCGGCCAAAGCATGGGAGAGGTGGGGTGTCATGAAGTGAGGTCATGGCGTGTCACTCGTGCAGTGCTGTTTGCGGCTGCATAGTTGCGAGGAGGGGGCCCTATTTGCTGGCATCGCCATAATACTGACTGGTCTGCGCTTCCCAGATGTGCTGGGCACGAGGCGCTGGTACTGACATCACACCCGCTCCCTCCTTGCCTTCCTGTCCACTCCCTACGCTTGTGTTTATTCCTCATCTTTCACATTGGGTGTCCTACATGAGTTGGTGGCTTGGTGGCCTTTGTGCCTGAAAGGTCCTTTTGTGGGAGAAGGGCGGCTGCGAGTTTTCTTCTTGTGGCAGCTTGGGGGTGGTAGTTTGATCATGCGGAGGAGAGGTGTTTGCGACTGCAGGACGTTGTCCTCTCAGGCCTGGTTGAGAGCTTGCAAGCCCTGAGCTGAGGGGGAGTGGTTTGTCATGGAGACTGAGGCAGAGCTTTTGGGGTCTTGTTCGGTGCTGAGCGTCCAAGGGTGAGACCCTTTCCCTGCCCAGGTTTGATGGTAAGACAGAGGGTTTGGACCCTGCAGCAGGCAGTTGGAGGCATGGATGGTGCGCCGGGCCGCAGCTGTGAGCGCCTCTTTTATGGGTGGTCCTGGCATGGCTGTGGACTGGCAAGGCCTGTCCCCATTCGGCTGGGGTGGATTTGGCTTGCTGCTGAAGTGAGTAGTGTTGGT